CACATATACTGAATTCTGTAACTGAAATTAAAACTGGCCTACATTTGAACTTGAGTAAGTCACTCAAGTTTTAACATTAATCCAGCAATTACAAGTTAACTGTGTTACTATAAAACAATCACGCTGGGGGCAGGAGAGATGGCTCGACAGTAAAGAGCACTTGCTGCTATTCCAGAGGATCCAAAATCAGTTCCTAACACCTACATTGGGTGGCACACACCTGTAACTCCAGCTCCAGGAAATGTGAGTCCCTTTTCTGGCATGTGTAGATATCCACATACACACAGGCCACATGTCTACACACAGGCCACATGTCTACACACAGAGACACATACACAGACATAAAAAATAAAAATAAATCTTCAAAAGAGGATCATATGTTGAAGGCTTAACCTCCAGTATTAAGAACTGTGACTTGTACTAAGAGATAGGGAAGTTTTTATTGGGGTATTGAATTTCAAATGAAGTCACTGGAGTGGATGCTAATACAGTATGACTCATGTTCTTTCAAAAAGGAGGAAATTTGGACACCAAGGCAATCACAAAAAAGGGAAGGCACTGTGAAGAGATGCAAAGAAAAGATGTCTATCCATAAGTCAAGGAGAAATTCCTGGAGCAGATTTCCTCCCACACAGCACTCACAAAGAATCAAGCCTACTTATAAACCTGGATTTCAGACTTTTAAGCTATGAATAAATAAATTTCCACCTAAGACACTAAGTTTATGGTACTTGGTATGACAACCTTAGCAAACAGTTACCTAACTTTTAAAAATGTCATTAATTTTCAATGCTAGCCTTGATTCACCAAGCTCATAATTGTGTGCTTGACACCAGGCACATCAGTTTTATTATGTGTGGTGAGGAATGAACTACGTAGCTAAAATTTCAGTGCCATTTAGTTACAATACGAAAGTACTACATTCAAACATTAGTAAGAGACTTAGAGTCCACGGATTATAAAAGCATCATTGGGTCCCAGGTTTTGACTTGTTTAAGGTATTCACAGACTCCTTAAATCATTTAACTCACATAAATATTACATGCTTTCTTGTTAAACCTGATTTGATTCATCCTTCTTTTTATAAAAAAAAAAAAAATCCCACAATGCTATTCTCACTCAAACCAAAAGGAATCAATCAATTTTGATGAAAATAATCTCACAAACTTTATGAGAAATAAAATTTCCATATGATTCACTAATTCCACTTTTGGATATATACTAAAGACAAGTTGAAAACAGGTTCCCAAGGAGACATCTGTATACCTGGGTTCATCACAGATTTATGAAAAACTGAAATGTAGAAGCAATCAAAATGTCCAGTAACAAATGAACAGACAGGCAACAACATAGCATACACACATAATGGAATAGTATTTGGTCTTTAAAAACAAACAAATTCTGGCATATACAACAGTATGGGTGAAACGACATTATTTGAGGTGAAATAAGCCAAACACACAAAAAACAAATATTTTGTGGTATCACCAGTATTACTAAGAGTAACCAAAAAGATATCTCATAAAGATAAAAAGAAAAATGTAGTTTCCAAGAACTGGAAGAGAAAAATGGGGAGTCATTTTAAATGTATTTAATGTTTCAGATTTTTAAAATGAAATAGTTGTTCAGATGGCATGCTGTTGTGGCTGAATAAGCGCTATGAACATATTTAAAAGATTAAACTGCATACCAAAAAAGAGCTAAGAGAGTACATTTTATGTTATTTCTACTCTAGAATTGTAAAAAGTGGGAAAATGATAAAAATAAAACATTAAGGTCTTTTGAGACAATAAACTGATTCATGATTTTTAAAAATAATGTCTTTTAAAGACACAGAAGCAAAATTAACTTCAGATATTACCTTTGACACAATCTAGTAAATAATGCCCAGACCAGAATTCCAGCTCCCCACTAGTTAGATGATCTTTCTTCAGTATCTACGAGCAGTCATAATGGTGGCAGCAGTGGTGTGAGAGGTGGGTACCACAGCTAACGTTTTATTTTAATATCTGCTATGTACTAACCACTGCACTAAATATTTTGCGTGTTACATAACTTTCAGTGCAAACAAATATAAGCTAAATATTTTTAAAATAATTTTCCAAATGAAGAAGCAAAGAACAGATATTTAATTGAGTCCACATTAATAAGAACTCTTAATTTATGTAAGCATTCCTCTGGTCAATATAATCTTTGAAAATTAGAACTTTGTTTTATTTTTCAGGGAGCCTAGCATATAGCAGGCATTCAACTGTCATGTAAAATAAAAGTAGGAAGTAAGAAGGAAAGAGATAGAAAGTTAGCATTTACATTTAGGCACACAATATTCTCAATATGTATAGATTAACCATAAATCACAGGGAAACCTGCGATTTTGCCCAGGAATACTAAGGTCTGGCAATTTCTCATTGAGAGTCCATGCAATCATTCCTGGTGTATCACAGAAGCAAGCTTCTGATTAATATTCTAGATCATATATACTATTGGCTGGTCTTTTAATTTCTAATTTTGAGACTAACAGAGAGATATATTTCACCTATCATACTAAGATTGAGAAGGAAAAATGAGATCTATAATACTGGCCTTATAGGAAATAAACTTCCAAGTCTAAAAGTACCCATGAATATCACCAACCAATGTCTCAAAATTTGAGAAACCTAAATTAGACATCTTCCTACAGTAGTTATTACTGGCTACTGTTGAGACTTGAACTATTCCTATGTTAGTGTTCATGCCATACACAATACAGCCTGACAAGGGCCCACAGCAGGTCCTAACTGCTGTGTTTTGACGTGACCTGTTTATGTATCTGCAGTTGGAATTTAGTGATGAATAGAAACCAAAATTATAAATATGTATATAGTAAACAAGGTCCATTATTTCTACTTCATAAAACAACTACACATATTAATATATTCTGATCATACCTGACCCAAAGAAAGCCAACACATATTTTATTTTTGTGTTTTTAGTGAGATAGCATTAGGGAGGGAAGAAGAAACACAGTGTTTATGTGGAAGGCAAAGGCATTAATCACACAACCCAGGATTTGTTTAGGCCTATACACCAAAGTGTTTGCCTCAGCCTTTGTGTGTACAACAGAGAAAGCTTTTCTTATACTCAGTTAAAGATTAGTATAAAGCCTAGATTGGTATTTTTATTCTAGATCTAAAATAATAAGAAGGTATTAATTTTACATAATTATACATTTTTAGGGACAAGACTTATCAATATTGTTATTTGTATCTAACCAGCAATCTAAGAAGTAAAGTAAGTCCATCAGAGCTCATCCAAACTGTACAACAGGTCATTTCTGATGCTCCATCCCTCTCTTTCTATATGCATGCTTTCTATATTTATTGACTAGTAGCTATGCGAAAGACAATGTGTTAGAGACTACAGACATTCCTCTGCCTCCTTCACATGTACTGCTACCTACTTCCCAAGAGATTAGTTCAATCCATAATATAGTGATTCACTATCAAAAAGCAGGTTCCATATAAACTAATAAAAGGAAAAACTACAGCAGTTCTAAGACTTAAGATTTTTGTTATTAAATACTGATAGAAAATTCTTAGCATTTCAAATATGCTAAGGAGAAAAGTGCAAGCCATTTGAGTAAGTTTGCAATATTGGGAATCTGGGACAACGGAATAATTAATTAAATACCTTAATATGAAATTGCAGCTGTTTGTATTTCACTTGTAGAACATTACCCAAGGTAAGGGCTATAATAGCATTGCAATCTTAAAAATAAGCTTATTCGTCAAAATATATATAAAGCTATTAACAAAAGAACTTAATATCACCACCAGTGACTCTAGAAAAAAATTAAGGATCTAGCATTTGATAAAAAGATAATATTACAACATTGAAATCTACATGTGAATTTTAGCTCCCTTTCTAGAATTTACCATTTAATTATCACTTTTTCCCCCTCATTTCCACCCCAACCACAAGAGAGACACATACACAAATGAAGAAATCATCTTATAGTATACCCTTAAATATTCTGAATATGTCCCATGTGTCCACTAATAGCCAAATGCTTTCAAATCTGTTCAGTTAAATGGATCAATAACTACATCCAGCCCCACAAAGTGGGGGTGCCAACATGGTGAAATCAAGCCAAACATAAAATGTTTCTACCAGGACAGAAATTATCAGCAGTTATTTGGAGAGATATACTTTGTCAGGTACACAACAAAAACATTATCTTGGGCAGTCAGCAGCTACTAAAAATTATTTGCGACACAAACTAAAGGATTAGGCAAAAATATTCAGAAGTTACAGCCAGTGAGATTTATAATGAACAAGTGTGATAGTCCAAGGCCTAACATCTCATATCTTTCAAACTGAAGAGTGCACAAAACACAAATAAGCAATACAATACACAAGCAAAATGCTAACAAGCTTATCTGTGCCCTCCCCCCATGTGACACAGCTGTGAACAACAATTGAGCAGGTGCAACCAAGCTTTCGAGAATTCCTGCCTGTTGCCCAGGAACCACAACACAGCACGGTTAAGATTTTAAACAGGTGCAAACATTTTTTTTCCTGTTTGTCTAGTACTGGAGACAGTGTAAAGACAGTGCATCTGCAACCACTCCTTACCTAAAGCAGCTCCACAAAAAATAAACTCAAAAATGGCTACAAAGTTTGAAAATCAAACAAAAATACCAAAGACAATGATTTTTCAAGAGTTTGACACCACATCGTCAGTCACTTTAACAGTACAGTTCCACAAAATACTCTCTAATCTTCGCCAGATTAATGCTTTGTAATTAAAATTATTCTGCCTCATCAATTCTTAAAAATGTTTATCTGAGTGATTCTTACATTGAAATGCAGTGCAATGTACGTATAAAATATACTTATTTGAAGCTGTGCTAAAATTAACATTTTCATATTAATTTTATAAAAAATTTTAACACACAAAATATAATAACTTGAGAGTTAATGTGTAGATTTACATAACCATAGGTAATTCATATACATACCTATGCAGCTATGGGTCACAAACAAACTTGCAAGTCATCAGGGACTCTGAAATATAAAACAAATATGTCATATAAGTAAAATTAATTTTTTGAGTAGAAAACCAGTATTTTGCTAGACAATTTCTCCATAAAAGTAGGAAAAATCTTAAGCATAAAGCAGGTGAGTTAGTTCGTATTTATATATTCCCCATAGGATACTTCAAATCACCCTAAATTCATATGTTTGAGTGTACACACATGGAGCCCCTAAGCAGTGTTACCAAAGCAAGCATCAGCAAGGGACTGAGACTCGCCATAGCCTCTGAAACGCAAATGCTTTCACTACAGGACAAGGCAAACACTTAAAAATGATTTTTTTCTTGGTATTCTTCCAGGATTATTGCCTTCCTAATACAAATATGACCACTGCTCTCTAAAATGAAACTCTCCCATTCATCTGCACTCAGTTGCCTAGAATACTGCTACAGAAGAAAGGTGTTTTCACAGCATAGTCCACAGAAACGCATACATAAACAAAAGTAACCATTGAATGTTCATTGACTTTGTTACAACAAGAAATAGATTTTAGTCAGCTTCTATGCTCACACCACATGATGCCTCAACCCAACACACAGCAAAACTGCCAGTGAGATCGGTATTGACACAGGGTGCTATGTAAGTCCAGTTCAAAACAATTTCAGTTTACAAGCACACTCTAAAAAGATTTGGGTTTGGGGAAAGATGCATTGAGCATGAAGGCTGCAAACTAATTCTACAACCTAATTCCACAATTCTTTCTAAATGCAAAATAAAGTCTTGAATTTATATATTTCCTTTCCTTTCTCCCTTTTCTTTTTGACAGGGTCTCCCTAGTCCCAGCCTGCCTGGTACTATGTAGACCAGGCTGGCTTTCATCTCAAAGAGATTCACCTGCCTCTGCCTCCAGAGAGAATTTATATATTTCTAAGCATAATTAATAACAGCAATGTTTAAAGGTCACTAATCCTTCCTTAAACATATGTGTAGGTAACAATTTTTATGATGGTTCTATAAACTGGCATCACACATTATTCTGTTATGAACATAAACTGACAAGAATTTTCTGGAAAGTTATTATATGTACATTTCAAGAAGTCAAAGTTTGAAATTTGTCCCTGGTTTAGTTATAGGAATCTATAATACATAATAGAAAAGAAAAAGAAATTTATGTTACAAGATAACTTTAGGGCTCACGTGTTAGCTCAGCACGTAAGGGCACCTGCTGTCAAGCCTGAGCCCTAAGATTAATCCCTGAGACCCACATGGTGGAAGAAAAGAACTGACAGCTGCAGGTTGTCCTCTGACTCCACAGAGGAGCCAAGGCAGCACCTTCTATACAGACACATGCACAGACACACATGGGGGAGGCGGGCAGGGACACCAGAGGTGAGGCGAGAAGAAAATAAATGGTAAATAAAATATAAGAGATAACTTAATTGTACTGGAAAACTATAAGTAATTTAAATGTCTCACAAAATAAGTATATCACATCCATATAAATGAATATTGTATAACAATTTATAAAGTGCCTTAAAAGAATATTTCAAATTTTATGAGAAAATTCAAATATCTATCACTATGATACCACAACATGTAGAATGTCAGTTGCACAGAAAATATGAAACTTTACTGACAATCAACAACAGAATATATATTAAACACATGGGGATTATATCTGGATAAGATAATGATTTCTTTGCATTTTTCTGCTTATGCTCATAGACAGCTAATTATTGCCAACAAAAATTCTTTTTGTACTAACAATATTGGTTTGTAAGGTAGTGGTAAAAGGAAAACATTGTGAAGTGCCATATGGAAATCATAAATCAAAACTTTCTGAGAGAAAGTAATGTATCCCATCACACATAAAACCCACCAACGATACCTAGAGTGAGAACACACTCTGCTTCCTCATAGGGTGCAGGCAGGGGCTTTCTAATCTCAGGACTCTAGAATCTGCACCAGAAATTCAATAACACATTTTTAATCATCCGAGTAGAACTTTTTAATTATGCAGAGTGAAAAGATGGCAAGAACAGTTCAGGACTGAAAATCTGTTAAATCTAGTATAGACTAATGTATTCACTAAGCCAGCAGCATTCAGAGAGCCTCTCCTGTGTGCTAGGTGCTGCATTTGTCACTGCCATGTGCTAAAAGACATGGCAGGACACATCCTCACAGTGCTAACCATTTAAAAACCTCAACATACATAGAAACCATTCAAAAAACGATATAAAAATAACAGCTCAAGGTATTTCTGAGAGTTCTGGCACATTATTGAACAAGAAAGCATGCGTCAGACTTATTATATAATAGAGCAAAGTCTTGCATAGAGGAAATGCTGACTAAAAAGTCATAAGTACTAGTGTGCATCACTTACAAATGCACTTGTAAATTACTTTGTTTACATTTTTCCTTATGTGGTTTGCTTCTTCTTAATGGACATATAATAATAGATCAAATATGAAGAAATACTGATCAAATATAGGGCACTGGATGTATAAAATTGTCTCAGATTATCTAGGGCCACATGAAACACATGGACAATTATTAACAGATTACATTCATTTATTTGCAACCTAAGTAAATAAGTAGTTTATTTGATAATCCTTCCTGAAGACAATGTTAGGACAATATCACCAGAGAAGGCAAAGCAGATAGAGCAGACCACTTTTTCTGTACAGATAACATGATAGAGTGTATAGATAGTCTCGATATCAGAGCAGTTTCTCTGTGCTCTATAACCACACCCTTTGTCCTTCTAAAACCAGTGTCACACAATTATTACAAGGTTGAGGGCAACTGTAAAGTACTGACAGGTACTAAAAACAGCTATTCATGTGATCAATGATCCATAGACCAGGCTCATGCAGTTCTGGGCAGCAACAGAGTTACAAGATAGGATGATGACTAAATACTTACCCTTTGCCATCAGAAAATTGATGATGTCATCCAAGTTAAAAATTTCTTGTGTTTAAAATAGTGAACATGCTACCTAACCTATAAGATTATTTATGGTGATCAATGCTATAGGCATGTATAAAAATTAGCACAGTGCCTGCCAAAAAGTAAGTATTGGGTAAAAAAGGACCTAATAGGATAAAAAAAGAGAGAGAATATAATACAAAAAGAGAGAGAATGTCTTATGTTAAGCTAAGGACTAAAGTAAACAGACACTAAGTGATAGAGACACCTTACTAGATGTACAGTCCAGCAACTTATCCAACAGTCACTCTTTCTCCATGTTCGTGGAAAATGTGAAAAGCAACATTCTATAACAATAGTAATCACCATAGTAACAACATTAATCAGCGTTGCAAGCACTATTCCCTTTCCTGAGAAAAAGGTAGTGGGAATCTAATGTACTGCAACACTACCCAACTTCTCTGGTGAAATTGTGTATATTTAACAAAATGAGCAGGAAGAAGAAAGTAAGGACAAACAAATATAGCTGCTCAAATGGAATTAGATCAATGAACTGTGAAGTGCTCAGGGAACACATATAAATGCTATCACCTTTTCATATACTCTAAAGAGAATCACGTGATATAAGCTGGCATATACTATAAGGAGCAAATATAAGTGTGAGATGTTATTTTCAGTAAATTTATCAATAATGTCTTAAAAGACAGGGATGGAGGCATAATAGACACTTTTCTAATCCTCATTTCTACTTTTGTTTGAAGGAAATGCATATATTGATGTAGTTTGTCTTCAAATTCTCATAGATTATATAAACCCTATAATTGTTTGGATCATGTAGGATGAAGTTACTATAAACAGCATTACAAATGGACATCATATATATATATATATGATGATTGGGGTTTTTTACTTGTAGGTTGGCACAGATGTGTTCACTACAGATATTCAATAAGTCCAGTTTTATATTATGTAATACAGGAAAGTTGATGTAAGAAGTACAAAAAGTTCATCTTTGCTCCCTATTGGTTGGATCTAATTAGAGATGAGTCTTGAACTATTAGTAAATAAAATTGCTAACTTACTCAGCGCATTAAAAAAAAAGTCTACCCTGGGCCTATGGGGCAGTGCCACAAAAAAGAAAAACAAACAAGAAAACTCAGAGCTTAAATTTAGACTACAAAATACTTTTCCTTATTAATATTCTAAGGAATATTTTTAAATGTTAACTTCTTAAACTTTTCATTCTTTAAGAAAAGTTACTGATACTATCATTCCAAAATTATTTCAATATATAATTAATATATGCATAATTTATATAATATATACATATATTAAATCCAGAAGAATCTGAAAGCATCAGTAAACAGGTTGCTTATTATTATATTGCTGCTATTATTACCTTGCATTTTTGTTATATTATTAACCTTAATAATTTGTAAAGCCAAATTTATTTTTGAAAATTGAAGTATCCTAACTTCTATTATTTATCTGAGCAGAAATTCAAGTTATTTCTGTATATTATTAAGCTAGACTTAGGCTTTCATGATTAAAAGGCTACCTCTTCTCCGGAAAAAGTATAAGAAGCAACAGTTACCTATTTATATAACCTTGTGAACTGGAAACAGATAAAGAGCAAGAAGGAAGGAAAGGAAACCATATGATAAACACACATTAACGCAAGCACACAATCAGTTTATCTAGAGCTTGGGGAACACTAGGAAAAATAAAGTTATGAAATATATGGAAAAGTTTGTATTTAAATGTATGAAAAGTTTATGTTTTTTAAAAATAAAAAACCTAAATTTAAACTTCCCAAGATTGATGGCTACCACTTAAAATAACAATTTAAGGGCTCTCTCCCATCCTTAGGCCTCTCTCCAGGGTAAGTCTTTCGTGCCCTCTGGGCCTTGACTCCCGAAGCCTCATTCCCCCTCTCATTTCCACCGCCATTCTCTCCTTGAGTTTGGGCACTTCCCCATTCTTTGTCTTGGGTCCCCAGATACCTGGGGAACCAATAATGCTTCCTGATCCTTTTCATCCAGACCAACTTAGTATTATTTTAACATGAGGTATGACCCTCCTGACTGTTGGCATAACTAATAT